TTTAAGGTGTCCATTTTGGTAACAAGAACCACCAAGGAATAAAACAGAAAATGACAGATATTTCACTTTAGTGTATATCTACTCTACGATGGTGTATATATATATGTAGCTTATACATTTGCGTGTATATTGCGCATTTTTTGCCCCAAAAAGTTAATGCCAAACTTGGGGTGTGGATTATAGTCATTGTCAATGTATATATGTATTCTGTTCTGTATATACACTCAGATTAATATATATGTATTCTGTTCTGTATATACATTCAGATTAATATATATGTATTCTGTTCTGTATATACACTCAGATTAATATATATGTATTCTGTTCTGTATATACATTCAGATTAATATATATGTATTCTGTTCTGTATATATATTCAGATTAATATATATGTATTCTGTTCTGTATATACATTCAGATTAATATATATGTATTCTGTTCTGTATATACATTCAGATTAATATATATGTATTCTGTTCTGTATATATATTCAGATTAATATATATGTATTCTGTTCTGTATATACATTCAGATTAATATATATGTATTCTGTTCTGTATATACATTCAGATTAATATATATGTATTCTGTTCTGTATATACATTCAGATTAATATATATGTATTCTGTTCTGTATATATGTATCAAGTTACCTATCAAATGATGGTTTTGAGTCCTATGTTTGATATATTAGTGCTAATTTGTCTGTCCTTGGATTATGGATTTGAATTATCTTGTGACATCTTGTGTTTGAGTGCAGAATTCTGAAAAAGTGTCAGATGTTGAGATGTGATTCCCCAAGAGTTTAAAATCTAAGATGTATAAAAATTGTGCCACAGTCTTGGCAAACTTTAAAGTTTTCATTCAGTACTTGTTGCCCTTTTTCATTCCTAAACATGTACTGAAGACGTAAAACTCCCTTCATTTTTTTGTTGGTGTCTAAGACTAAAGAAACATTGAAATTACCAGACCCATGTTTTGTGATAAAGCTATTATTATATGTAGCCTGTGAATTACTCAAAATTGTACATATACATCAATGATTAAAGCTGCAATCTTCATATGAATTGTTGGAAATAAATTTGTTATCAATTAAAATACTGTTAATTAGTTTTATCTTTGTTAGTTTCTAAAATTGAATTCATTACTAATGCTATTCTGCTATATTTCTAACAATTGAATCCATGCTATTCTAACATTGCCATACTTCTAAAAATTGAATCCACGCTAATGCTATTCTGCTATAGTTCTAACATTGCTATAGTTCTAACAATTGAATCCATGCTATTCTAACATTGCTGTAGTTCTAAAATTGAATCCATGCTACTCCAACATTGCTATAGTTCTAAAATTGAATCCATGCTATTCCAATATTGTTAAAGTTCTAAAAATTGAATCCATGCTATTCCAATATTGCTATACTGCTCATATTTTGCCCTAAATTATTTAAGTAAATTATAGAACTATTTTGGGAGCTTACTCAGACCCTATAATCAACATAATATGACGGAAAATTTGTCAGCTGATAATAGATCCGACCCCATTTCTAACACCTTAGACAGTTTATTCACTATCACATAAAAAGTCCGATCTAGTTTCGATCTAGTGTGACTCTACAAATTGCCATTTAAATTATTATTTAAATTATTAAATTTCTATTTAATCTTTTGAGAGCTTACGTAATATATTTTTCACTACTGCCCTATTTTCTACACCATGAAGTAAGTAAGGTACACCACCTTATAGACTGTTTACGTTGTCGCTAAGGAATACTATTTAGGCAACAACATATTTTGATTGAAGGTCATGGTTCATGTCATAAAGAGACCTTTCGCAAGTCATGCAAGAAAAAAATCGCCGAAGTAGTCATTGGATCAAATTCTGGTATCGTTTTCTCATTTTGATTTAACGAGGGTTCACGAGTTAAAACTCGTACTTTGATATTGATCTTTTTGTCACTACATTTGTTTGGTTCAGGGTTGAGTTTTCGCAACGATGCTCCATTTCTATGAATCTAATTGAAAAGGCAATCTCTGAATTTATACGTGAATTAGGGACATATCAAGCTCATATTGTTTTACGGTCGACATCATAGGACCTTTGAACAATGAGGAAAATGCAAAGAGATTTGTAGTGGCTTAACTACCACAGGGACTGCTTGAACCAGTTCCACGGGCCCCACCCCTGAGAAAAAAATGCAGGAGAGCATATGTTAAAAAAATTCCCGGGGAGGAGCCTTAACCCACTTAAGTCCAAAGTTCCCACTCATCTAGTTGAGCAACTATGGGTATATTGCTAGTAGGCCGATTAGGTATCTACGGAGTTAAACGTCAAGCGAAAGCACATACAAAATAGAAATAGGTGAGATCATTGATCGATATTGCCCAATCACATAGGTTTTGATTTCAAATGATGAAGACTTTTAATCGGAATTTACATCTTAAATTATAGAAAATAATCTGTTTGAATTTACCATTCTCAAAATGCTGGACCAAATTTTAGTCGTTCTTGCGACCCTTTTGTTTGAAGGTAAGACAAAGTTGATTTTTACGTCAATATTAGTCATATTATTGTGATATCCT